CCTCCCCGCCTGCCTGCTGGTTGATGTCTGAGACTGGTAGACAGTTATACGAACTGCCTACTTGAGATTGTTTCTGCCAAAAGGGGTAATACCAGGTATTAGAGCCAAGGGTGTACTTGCTTTTTCCATGGAAGGAAATGGTGCATCTGTTAATTTTTTGTTGAATAAATTATTGCAAAGTCAATTTGTTATACATTTTTTGTTTGATTACATCACCTTTATCTTTGTATTCTGTTTGAACAAGGATAAAATATTGATATGTCCACATACGTTAAAAAAGAAAAAAAATTACATGGGGTATACTTACTTTTTCACATGACTCTATAGTCTTGCATGTTTGGGAGGGATAAGGAAAAGAGTTAAGATGATCTCAGGCTTGGATTAAAATTCATTGCAGAGAATTTGAAATTTTCTCAGCATGTTTTTAAAATTACCTTTTACAAATCATTGAAGTTCTGCTCTGAGTCTGAAGTTTGGTTTCATTTTTACCCTTCTCTTCCAAGGAGTGTTTGCCCATGTGATTTTAAAGCATGATTCAGATAATACCATGGTGTGTGTAGGATATTGATAAGAACATCAGCTCTCTGTGTGGACTGGAATTTGCATTAGAACTCAAGAATGTGGCTGTACATTGCAGGGAAGTGGACAAGGTATCTTTCAGAGAAGTTTGTCAGCCTTTGACTTTTAACCCAAGGAACCCCGGCTGAAGCTTCTTCAATACATGAACCTCATCATTTGTCAGGAGAGGACCATGGTTGAACTGGAGACCTTCTGCATTAGGGGTGTGGAATTGTAGCTAGTGGCAGGTTCTCAGCTGGCCAACAGTCTCTCCTTCCCAATGAGCCTTTCCCCAGGTGAGCTCCTGATGGAGGTTGCAATCACAATCTTTCTTCAGCAACAACTCATGGTATGTCTGTACTGGGTCTGAGAAAGGAAAGCTTCTTTCTTAACATCATCACAGAAGATGATTGCCTGTTGAAGGAAGAGTTTGCTTTATTGCTCCATCAGGGAAGCTTCTTTTTTCAGGACCCTGTTCAAAATCAAAGAAAGGAAGATATTGTAGCCACTTCATGGGTAGTACTCAACTTTTCTCCACTGAATGTTGTAACGAACTATTGTACAGCTGTTCAGTGGATGGTTGTGTAATGTGAATTGGATGGACCTTTGGCTGCTACTCAGGTAGCGTGACCTCTTTTTCACTTCTACTCAGTCCCACTAGGTTGGAACATCCTTTGTGCTCTATTTTCACGAAATTTCAGAAATGTGCATTGAGTGACTTCAGTATTTAAAAAGTTTCTCTAAGCAGATTGAACTTTGCTTTTTAAATAATTTCAGCCAAACTGAAGAATCTAAGCTACAAGCTGACTGACAGGTAGAAAAGATGACATAAACAGTAGCTGTCTTTCATCTTCCACTGAACTGAATTAGAGGAGAAAGATCAGAAGTTTTATCATGAGCTTAGAAGGACTGCAGTAATACTAGCATTGGAGTGTCTGCCAGACAAAGAAGACATATGTAGGAAAAAAACCTCTCATCGTGATGTTGTTGTAAGCCTAGGCAGGCTGTGAGATCTGCTGTGTTATTTGCACCGTCCTCAGGATGGAGCTTTTCAGCCAGCACCAATCAGCAATACCTAGTTATTTGGAGGGATGTGACTGGTTTGGTGCAAGCTGTAATGCTTCATTTGTACCCTTATGTGCTGATATATTAGGCATCTTGTTAAGCCCAAACAAAAATGCAGAGGAGGGTCAGCTTAGCAGTCAGGGCTCAGCAATCAGAGTGTTTGTTTTTGAATTCTAATATCCATGTGGAGTGTATTTTGTTTTGTGGATGAAAAGATTAGTGTTGCATGCAACAAAGCTGTAGGCGTGGTGTTGGTTTGATATATGGCCTCCATACAAGACTGGTTCATAAAGCACAGAGAGAAAGATCTGGCTTTGTAGAACACAGCTATATTTTTGTGCACATTTTTCCTGCTCTGCCTGAACCTCTCTAGTGCTGATTGGAGATTATGGGAGTTGCAGTCAAGCATTTGGGAAGGTTGCTTTTTCACATTAAGAGACAAGACCACTGGAATTCATAAACATCTGTAGTAGCAGGATTTCAGCATGTCAGATTTAAGTGTAATAGAATGCTAAGCTTCTAAAAACGCGAGATTTGTACAGGTATATATGGGATGGGGGATGCATGGGGATAGAAAAATAAATATACAGGTCCTGCAGGATTTTGGTCCCTACAAAACACCCGTCTCTAAATATTAACAGTTCATCCCAGGTTGCTGCTGTTCTCATCAGAATTCTGAACTGATTATCAACAGAGGGTTTGAAAGTGGGCCAAGGACTGCATGGGGCACTAGGGCTGCAGGTAGCTCACCACCTTTAATGTAGAACAAGACCACATCCCAGCTTTCTCTCCATCACAACTTTGAATATGACTACTGAGCTAGGGTCAAGGGGAAGGGCTGCACAGAACACTGTTTTGTAGTTATTCTTAGAACAGCCTTGCGAACTAGGTTATGCAGAGTGTGACTTTCCCAAAATTCCCTCATGTAAAGTTCCTGTTTTTCAAAAATAAGAACATCCTAGAGCTGAGTTGTTCCTGATCAAGGTGTAGTATTTTATAAAAAAGATACACAGAATTCTGTAGGGCCGTGACTTTCTCTTAGTGTAAAAGAATGCTCTCTAGGTAGTCTTGACTTTGAATTTCAATGAAAGCAGGGATTTAGCAATGATAAATATGAGTATCAGTCCACAGCCTCGTGTTTACTGCAACAGTTCCCATCCCTGTGCAGCATCTCAGTGGAGTGGGGTGCTTGAGATTGACTGCAGTACCCAGATGGTGGATTGATTAACCATGTAGGTTTTATTCAGAAGCCTCTCTGTATAATTTTCTTGTGCAAGGTGGCACCAGCAGGCACAGGTGTATGTCCCTGGAGGTTGAGAAAGAACTTCTTTCAATAGGTATGATTACACATTTAATCCCATCCTCATTTATCTCATCTTCCCTTTGCAAATGCAGAATAATCAGTAACAATGATGACAGAGACGGGCCCAGATTCAGAGGTGAAGAATGCTCAAGAAGAGAGTCCCCAGCAGCAGCTGGAGGCAGCAGCAACTGGGCCAAACACAGTGAATGGAAGCTCCACCAACACAGTGCACAATCAGGAAGCTGACGATAATGAGAAACCAGGAGCTCACAGTGATGCTAAGCATGGGGAGCGGGTGAGTTTACTCTGTTGCCAAAAGTGCTTTCACAAAGGCTTAGAAGATGTTGTCAAGGCTGGGAGTCAACCATTTTATAAATGATCTCATTAAAAACAAAACTATGCTTTTGAGCATGTGCAGAATGAGCTCTCATTTACTTGCTGGAGTTTAGCAGTAACTGCAGCTTTCACTTGCTGTAACAAAATGTATTCAGTGCACCCAATCACCGCACACAGAAATGGGCCTGCATTGACTTTCTTTGCTCTCCTACAACTGTTTGTTTGTTAGAAATTACAACTGGACACTGAAAACTGACCAAGACCCCAACGGGCCTGGGGGTCTCAAGGAAACGGTGATCTCCTGAGGTGATTCCATCATTCATAATATCTAATGCTCTCACTTAGCCTTCTTAATAATAACATTGATGTTTTTAGTGACATTCTGTTTTAATATTGTTATTTTATGATTTTATTGTATGCCACCCAGAGTCACAGTCTGTGAGATGGGTGGCCATATAAATATGATTTATAAATTAACAAACAAATAAATAGTGTATAGCTAGCAGGATATACCTAGTTCCATTTATGGTGTCACAGGTAGATATTATGGCAATGTTTCTGTTGAGTGCCATTGGATCGTCATAAAGGAATCCTGGTTTTCTCATATATTAATGACCAAACTCTACATTTCCACCTCTTTGGGGGAAGATTTTCATGACAGCAAGAACAGACTATATGTAGGCTTAAATTGTGGCATTTCTTGCTTTACAAATTATTGTTTGTAATTTGTAGTCCTGCTTTTTCAATAAAACATCCAAAGCATAAAACAGCATAAAAAACTAAAATGCAGTTAAAATATAACAGCAAAACTAAGAAGACAATAACATGCCAGGGAGTTTTAAAATGATGTGAAAGTAAATAATCATTTTGTCAAATTGCTAGGATTTAAGCTTGCATAAACATAGTCTATATTGTCCACCTGGGAACTATGTGTCTGCAGGTGTCTGTTCCACCTTAGAGTTTGGTAGGAAAGAGATATCATTCCTTTTTGAATTACCTAGGCAAATGCTACCTCTGCACTTTCTCCCATGCAGGCTTGATGCAGTGCCAGTTTTCTGCCTTTGTTATCTCTTACAATGTGTTTTGTGTATCATGCAAGCAGTGTACCTCCTGGTAAGCTGAGAACTGCTTCTGCATCCTAAGCACTTAATTGTTAAGCAAACAATTAGCACCAAGTTTTACATATGTATGTGGATGCTAATGAGAAGTCAGGAGCCTATCATGATGTCTCCAGATCAGAATTAGGAGTGGGTAGTGCCCAGGATAGCATTGTCAGGGCAGAAAGGAGCTAGAAATTATCAGAACTTATCCTTGGAGTGTTTTTGGTGTCAAGAGTTCAGCCTGTGATCATATTAATTCTTTTAGCATGTGCAGAGTGAGTACTCATTGCATCTCCCACTCCCCATGCAAAAAAGGCAGGGTCTAAAAAGGTGTGTCATTTGAATAGGGCAAAAGATAAACAATCTTTGCTTTGCACAGATGCTGTGTCACAGGTCAGCTATGTATGATGTGCACAGGGATATTATGGACTGATTCTGGCCTTTCTGAAAACATGTTGCTTGATTTCTGTGGTGGAGACAATGTGCTCAGAATGATTGGCCAGAGAGGTTGGAACTATGGATTGGGCTAAGGATACTTTTGGCTAAGTCACCTTAAACTTACTTCTAAATGTGATTCTATGGAAATACATTCCGTTGAAATCTGCAAAACATTTCCAAATCAAAGGTTAGAATTGAGAGAGATAAGCCATGAACTTCTTAAATGCCCCAGCAATGTCATTGTTTTGTTCAGTCTTCTTTAAACAACAGATATCTTATTTCAAGATGTCACGTCTACAGTATCTCTACTTAGATCCATCTATCTTAGATCTTCAAGATCTGTCTTTTTATCCTCTTTGCTGTCTTTAAGATTTGTTTACTATTCCATTTATCAAAATGGTAACCAGACATTAGTTAGCAAATAGATATACAATCTAGTTCAGTGTTTCTCAACCTTGGCAATTTTACGATGTGTGGACTGCAACCCCCAGAATTCTCAGCCAGCATAGCTGGCTGGGGAATTCTGGCAATTGCAGTCCACACATCGTAAAGTTGCCAAGGTTGAGAGACACTGTTCTAATTGATGTTTGGTTCAAGTTGGCTACATAGCAAACACTATTTTTTTGCTGATACACATTAGTGTCTTCTCTAATTTTCCTTTGTTAGTGTTGTATTTATTAAAATAAATTCAAGGAGCCACTTTTCTTAAATGGCTTGAATTTTCTCTTAAAGTAGTATAATTGTGAACAATAACTGGTTCCTCTAGACTAGATTAGCTTCTGAGTATATTGTAAGCCTAGGAAAGTTTATTTTCATTACTAGAAATGAACTGAGTTCCCAGTCTTTTCATACAAAAATCTGTTTCCAAAATTCTCATTTTTGAATTTAATTGATATTATTTATTAAATTTATTATGGCCACCCACTTCAATAGACTCTGGGCGGCTTACAAAACCCAAACATACAGTTAAAAACATAAAACATGACAGCCCAGACTAAAAACAATGATAACAGTAAAAACATGACAGGGCCCACAAACACATAAACCCCAGGTGTTAGCTTGGTAGGGTATACAGTAGACTGAAAGAGAAACTTTCCCATAAGAGACATCACAGCACCGGGCCGTTGGCATTTTGCAGTGTCCTGATGCTGAATCTTAAAATAACAAATTTGTTTTTAGGAGATTATTGCATCTTCTCTTGAGAGGCAATTGATTTTTCTTTCATTTTCATCCATGGTATCATTCAGTATAAAACTCTGTTGATCAGTAGCATAAAACTAAAACCAGTCAGATGTAAAATTGCTGTAATGTATACTGAGTACGTTAGGAAGAGCAGGAGTCAGCTGTGCTACAGAGAGCTGAGTGACATGGCCTATACACATAAAGTAAGTCTAGTACAGTTTCATAAATTGTTTCGTGTATATGTGCATACATCCCTGCAGAACATGGAAGTCATCTTCGTAAAGCATTGTGATCTGAATGAATAAGGATAGACCAGAGCTAAAATAAGAATGAATGACATGTGCATACATCAAAAGCCCTGGCCACAAGAACCAATAATATGACATAGAAACTCAACACAGCAGTGACCTCAAATAAGCCCCATCCTTTGTGTCAGGTCCTCCAGTATTTGCTTTTTCGTACCAAGTGACAGAAATTTCACCACTAACAATATCACAGTTGGAATTTTATCTTCTAACAAATACCTGACATAAAATGGAGTCATTTTGCTTGGCAATTCAGTCAGTGTAAGTAGTATCAGTTGCTGATAGATTCCAGTGTAAAATTTGGAGAACAGAAGAAAGTGCATCATAGAGTTGACATCCTGTTCATTATATGAATGAACCATAAAGATGGGAATCCTAGTATATCTTCCATGTAGAACTTAAGAGGAGAGTATGGTCTGTCTTTCAAGTAATGACAGTTTGATAGTTACATGAAGCCAGCAATAAAAGCTGTTGAGAAACTTTTTCAAATAAAATGCCAACTTAGTTTAGTGAAGAGAATGAATGAGCGAAACCAGAAATGTTCTAAAGGAAGAGTACAAAACAATACATAGTTCTTACATTTTGCTGTAGTAGCTGATTCTTGCACTGGGCAGGGAAAAACACTAGACAATCACCTTGTTGCCTTCCAACACTTATACTCTTTGATTCTACCTTTCCTTTTTAGGGTGTGGACATGGATGAAAAAGACTACAGTGAAGCAGATGGGTTATCTGAGAAAACTACCCCCAGCAAGACCCAAAAATCTCCTCAGAAAATCACCAAAAAACTCAAGAGTGCAATCTGCAGGGTGACTCTTCTGGATGCCTCAGACTATGAGTGTGAAGTGGAGGTGAGCATAGGGGCTGGATCACTTGACTTTTTATTTCCACCGATATGTTTATTTGGTGTGCATGCTAAATAGTATATAAGAACTGAGTAGCTCTGTGGAAAGCATGCCTGCTAAAATCAAGAGTTTTTTTTTTTTTTAAGAAAAAGTATTAGATGAGTGTGTTAAAATAGTTAATGCTTTCAACTTTGCTAAAGACTCATCTGCATGTGTGTGCTTAACTCTCTGTATGGATGTACATGGAAAGCAGGTGTGAGTGACTCATACATTTTTAAGTGTAGGCAGTCTGCTATTTGTATAGTTTGAGAAAATGAAGTGTAGGCAATATGTGTGTGTGCTTGTATAACTGTTATTTTGCTAGAGATCCCTAAAGAAGAGGAACATTATTTGCAGCATTCAGTCAAGAAGATCTTTAAGTATTTATAAAAACTTACAAAGCTTGATTGGCATGACTAACCCTCCCTTCAATATTCATGGATAAATCCACTTTTCTATCTAATGAAAGATAGCTAGGTAGTGGTTCATACTTCCATGGAGATTAGAACCATTGTTTCCTATATGATGAATGGACAACATCTATTCTTTCTTAGATGGTGAAGAAAAAATGGGCAAGTATTTGAAAATTCTTGAGATACTTACCCTCCACTGCAGGAAAGAGTATAAGATGTCATACACTGGAAAGTCTTCTTGCTGTTTGTAAAACTGAATAGGTCACAGTTCGCAATGCATCTGTGAGGGAAAGGATTTGAAGGAGAACATACTTTTCCTGCTCGTGCAGGGGATCTACAATAGTGGAAAGCAGTTTTATTCCTACTTTTAGGAGTTCCTTCTGATTGTCTCCTTAAGAGGAATTCTGCACTTTGCTGAAGGAATGATTATATGTAGCCATTAATGGCATCACAACTTATTCAAAGTTTTTCTGTTAGCTTAGGGATGTTACTCCTATCTTAAGTTGTGGCTATTGTACTCAAAGTGTAAAGTGATCTATTTATTAATTTACTTAAGATTTAGCTCTGAAATGAATAGATCTTTCTGTGACATACACAGACACAAACTTTTTTTGCAAGAACATTTTTGTTTTGTTTTTCTCTTCTGTGTTTTGTTTTTATACCTCATCACTGTTGGCAAAGCTATACAAGAAGAAAACTGGAAAACCCAGACAGTTCAGGAGAGATGTGATGGTATGTTTAGAGCCAGAGAGAGGTTCAGATTCTAATCTACTAGACGTTCTTCTGTTACCAGTTAAGACAGCTGCCTCCTCACCTGTTCACATAGGAGCCATGGATGAGAGGCTAAGAAAGTCTTGCCTTAGGAACCTGAGAAATAAATTGAATTCTAAAAGGGGAAAACAGTCCACTTGCTGAGATTCCTGGAACCTCACATTATTCCTTTTCAATAAATCTTGATAAAGAAACTGGAAAAATCTTGCTTTCTGTAGATATGGGAAAGGATCGTCTGATTCACTCTTTAATTCTGGAAAAGCACTATAAAATAAACACGTACCAGAACTGCACAATTCACACATGAAGGTAGTGAGCAACTGGCGGCTTTTCTTATTGCACTTTTGCAAAGCTCCGAGGATGGATGATTAGGAAGGAAGAGGGGAACTTTCAGGCTCCGTATTTAACAATGAGTTCTTACACAACCTTTGTCAATGAAGGTAACTTTCGCTGTGTGCAGTTCAACTTCCAGAATTCCCCAGTTAGTGTGAGCAGTGTCTTAAGTATTCTTGAGTTAAAGTTCATACATCTGGAATGTACTCAGATTAGGGAAGGCTGAACTAATATATGAGATGATAAAATATGATATGGATTGTGCTGGAAGCTGCTTATAACAGAGTTAGAAGTCTTTGAATCAGTACATCTCCAATTGGAGAGGGAGGATTCTATGGTGTAGTTTTATATGTTTGCTTAATAAGTGATCTATGAACAGGAAAGCAGAAAAATAACTTCATTATTATCTATTAATTAATAATTCTGTATGCCTCCTAACAACTCTGGACTTCTATTTAATACTGCTGCTGAGACACCAAACCATGACACTGCAAGAGTCCAGTTGCTTCAGACTGGAGATGGAAGTGTCATGGAAGTAGAAGCCAGATAGAAAGGTTCTGTGCATGAGAGAAGATGTGTAGATGTACAATTACAGAAAGATGTCACTGAGTTTCTTCTTTTGGAGATTGTGGCATTAATTATATACATACATACATACAAGATATTGCCACTTTTTGTTGCTGAAAAATCCAGAAGTGGCTTGCTTCACTTAAGTGTTTTCTAGTGTACATCAAGTCTGAATACAAAATATACTGCCAGAATTTGCCTTCAGTGAAATTGTTTCCTGATAAATGTATTAATTAGTGACCTTGTTCAGAAATGCAGTAATTGAGACCCCCACTGAATTGGCAGGATGGCTTTCAAAGACACATGCGGAATACCATAACGAGCTAAGACATATAGTAGCAGAGAGCAGAGAGAAGGGAAGGTAGAATTGGGACTGATGACCAGAAAAAAGGGATGGGATGGTTTAGATAGTTTAGTTTCTGTAAGTCATATAACACCATTGGAAGGCATGAGCTCAAGCCATCCTATTCTACAATAGGATGACAACAAAGAGAATAACAATCTCTTATGCAAGGGAATCTGTCATGTCTGATTTCATTCCTCATACTATTACCAAAGTTGCAGAATTGCATCCTCTCTATGTTGCTAAAATAAGGATAATTAATTTTGACATATTTGCACATTCTTCCATTTAAAACACTGCTAGCTAGGCATTCCTTTGGTGCAGATAGCACCTTTTCCTTGCTTAATTCAGTGTAGGAAATGTGGAAGTGAAGCAGAAGTATCACATGTTCCCTATTGAAAAAAAAGATTAAATAAATAAAATAAATGATAGAAAAAACAGACTTGGCACACATGAACATGCATATATTATATATGGAACTGTGCAAAGCCTGAGTGTGCAAGTTAGCCTGTTTTTCTACACTTGTGCAAACCAATGTCTGTGTGGGTGTGGAAGAAACTGCTTAATCTCATCATGTCATCTGCCAGATAGAAGTATGTGAAAGTGCTCCCTGTTGAAAGGCCCTATAAACAGAGACCTTCAACCAGTTCAGTAAGAGGTAAGACTTTTTCAGATGTTAGGTTTGTAGAAGTGAAAAACAGTTTTTATTTTTAGCTCTACTGATCTTAATTTTAGTGCAATTCTCATGTAATGTATGGAATCACTGTCTTGCTGTAAAGGACAGTCTGTTTTTTTACAAAGTCATAGGATATGTGATCTCCATTACAATCTGCCTAATAGAGGATTGGGCTGCCTAATCATGGTACATTTGAGTTTTGACCAATACAGGCATTTTTCAAGTTTATCAAGATCTTGTTAACACTTCTAGACTGGGGTCAAGGTGCTCATTATATCTTTGAAATCCCCAAATGAGCTGATCGCTGCATAAGTTAGAATGACTGTCTTATCAAACATCCTGTTACAAAGATACTGCTTCATATATTTTGTTCTAAATAAGGACATATAACAGGGCCTTTTAATAAGTAAAAATAGTGGAATATCCTTGTTTAAACAGGACCTTCAGGGTTCAGTGGTATAAATACCTCATTGTGTGTCATATTCTATTGACTGTTTTTTTAATTATTGGTGTCTGTTGAATATTCATTGGAAATTGCTTTGAATCACCGAGAGAGGAGGAAACAGGGTATAAATAGCTAAATAAGAAATAAAACATTAAGGGACTGGGAGAAAGTTAAAAGGATCAGAGCCTCTCTGTGCCTTTGATCTCCACAGTCCTGCAGTCAGGCTCTTTAGCTGACATCTTGAATAGTGAGATTCTGAGAGTGGCTTGACTGAAGAAGAGCTGATTGTTATAGAGATGAAAGTTCCCTTTAAGCAAAATAAGTGGGTGGGGTGATGGCCTGGAATAGATTATTAAACGACCTTCAAAGCCAGAGATGTGAGCCTGAAAGGATGCATAAAATGTGTTATCATTTTCTGAAAACTGGTTGATATTTGCCCATTGATGAACACATGCTGAGATCTGGATTATTTTGCTATTCTAATTTACCAAGGCCTTATACATACAACATGAAAATAAGGATTCCTGCCAAGATGGTTTATTATCTCTGTTAGATGAGTGCAATTTATGCTGGTCATCCTATTCTCTTTCCTTCCACCTTCTTCAGCATTATAGACTTCTCAAGAGAGCTAGGTCTTCATATCAGGTTTCCAAAATGTCATAATTTGAGTTAGGTCATTTATGCCTCAAGTGAGAACTCTGGATTGATTTGTTCTATGATCCATTTATTTGTTTTATTGGCTATCCTTGATATTAGGAGTTTTCTCCATCATCAAAGTTCAAAAGTGTCAATACTCTTTCTGTCCTTCAGAGTCTTAACTTTCAATTCCATACAATGACATAGGGAGAACCATTGGCTGCACAATTCTGATCTTTGTAGATGTAGATATTCATGGCTTCTGAATATCTTTTCCAAGACATTCATTGCTACCCTACCAAGCACTAGTCTGCAGCGTATTTCTTGAGGGCTGATTCCTTCACTTTCCTTCAGTGTCTTCACTGTCAGTTCTGTGGCTGGTTTGTTGTGCCTTTGCCGTTAGTTTGGAATTTAGTTCCATTTTTCCCCTGTGCTCCTTACTTTTCATTACTAGAGCTTGCAGATGATTTGCATTTTAGCGTCACAAGCATAGTGCAGGTTATAGAATTTTTTTCCTCCAATTTTAAAACCACATTCATTTTCCAATCCCGTTTCCCTCAATATATGTGATATATAGGTTGAATAAATAAGGAGAGAGTATATAGCCTTGTCTCACTCCTTTGCTGACCTGGAGCCAGTCTGTTTTGCTATGTTCCACTGGATTATGGCTTCCTGTCTTGTGTATAGGTTTTATATGTGGACAATGAGATATTCTAGGATTCCCATTTTCCTAAAGACATTCCGCAACTTAACATTGTCAACACAATTGAAGGTCTTCCTATA